ATAAATATGTGAAAAATTGATGTGGGTACTCAAAAGAAAGGTCTCGATGACTGTAATGTCAGGGTGAGCTTATATCTTTAAAAATGTCAATATTTGATAAGATAGCAAAGTCTGTTCTCAATTATTGACATTTTTCGAAATACAAACTCATCCCGACGTTACACTCATCACGAGCTTTGATTTGAGTGCCCACATGCATTTTCATATATTTTTCATATATACATAAATATATGAAATATATATGGAAAATTGATGTGGGTACTCAAATGAAAGCTCTTGATGAGTGTAACATCAAGATGAGTTTATATCTTTAAAAACGTCAATATTTAAGAAAGTACAGTGCAATTTAACAAAAGTCCTTATTTAATAAAACAAAATTTTATTCATTTATAGTTCACAAATCACGGCAGTCACATAGTAACTGCAAAGTTGCTAGCTAATATTCTGATTTATATTTTGATCTATTTCTTCAAAATATTTATATTCTAATGTCGAATTATCTATTTGTTTTAAACAAGGGCTGGTGCCTATTACTATTATTTTACGTATAACTTTTTCCTTTATTCTTCTATTAAATTCAAAATTACGGCATAAATTAAATACTTAATCTCTTACGTGTACTTTAATGAAACTACCATGTACATGCTTGCCATTCGGCAAATGCCTTGGCATCTAATTAATTAAAATGAATAAATAAATAAAATGTAATCAATTCAATTATCTTTTTTATAACAGAGTATTTTTCAAAATTTTTATTTGTTTAGAAGAATACAATAGCTTCGGTGCATAAATATTTATTTATTAATTTTTTTGTGATAATTGTTTTAATTAATTATTTTTTATAATTAGATTCTTTGGTTACTAAAGTACTTGTTAAGTAAAAAAGTTTCTTAAAATTGTTGTGAAATTATAAAGTTAATTTTTTCAATTAATTTAAAAAACTGAAAATTTGTAAATTTTTTATAAAATTCTAAATTTTAAGAAAACTATTTATAAATTTAGATGTTAATTTAATTATATAAAAGTAGGTCTTTTATAATCCAACTACACTAAAATAACTTCGTAATTATAAATTATTTTTTAAAAACGCCTATTTTTATTTTTATTCCAGATAAAAAATATTTTTTTAAATTGAGAAATTTTATTCAGATAAAAATTAGTGAAAATAATTATTATTAAAATAAGTTTAAAAAAATCTTAAACGTTATTTTTATGCATATAAAAATTGTAGATCGTAAAACTAGAAAAACTGGTATTAAATAAAAATTAAATTAAAAAAAATTTGTGAATGAACATGTACTTTAAAATAACTCAGTATCTAATTGTTGAAATAGGATATTTATAATATATAAACCGTAGCCGGAAGTCTTATGTTTTGAATGATACCATGCTTTAATTCATTTTCTTTCTTTACAAGAAAAATATATTTTTAGAAATCGTTTCGATCTTTTGTCCTCAGAAACGTGACTTATTGAACTTATTATTCTGAGAACTTGAAAAACTATGGTACCAGCGGGAAATAAGGTCTATGCTAGTCAAGAGATACTTGTGATAAGATAAAAAATATCCAGTTTAATCAACAAGTTTTCATGTTTATTTTTATTCGAGTAGATTTTCTTTTAAATCTATATTATTAAGAGAATAAGAATAGATAAGAATGAGAATTTTCAAGGTTTCAGATTATTCTCACCGATAGTCATTTTATTATAAAAAGTATTTAGGCTGCATTCAAAAATACTTTTTCTCTAGATACATAATTAAGAAATGACCTTGTATCTCGTGAACTATTGACATTTTTTAAGATATAAGCTCATTATGATGTTACACTCGTCAAGACCTTTCATTTGAGTACCCACATCAATTTTTCATATATTTTTATATATTATATATATGTATATATGAAAAATATATAAAAATGCATGTAGGTACTCAAATGAAAGCTCTTGACGAGTGTAACATCAAGATGAGTTTATATCTTAAAAAATATCAATAATTAAGAAATTACCTTGTATCTTGTCAATTACTGACATTTTTCAAGATATAAGCTCATCCCGATGTTACGCTTCTTAAGACCTTTTATTTAAATACCCACATCAATTTTTTCATATATTTCATATATTTATATATATTATATATATATGTATATATGAAAAATATATCAAAAATGCATGTGGGTACTCAAATAAAAGCTCTTGATGAGTGTAACATCAAGATGAGCTTACATCTTTAAAAGTACCAATAATTAAAAAATGACCTCATATCTTGTAAAATATCAACATTTTCAAAGATATAAGCTAACTCCGACATTACACTCATCGAAACCTTTCATTCGAGTACCCACATCAATTATTCATATATTTTATATATTTATATATATGTTTATATAAAAAATATATGAAAAATTCATGTTGGTACTCAAATGAAAGCTCTTGATGAGTGTAACATCAGGATGAGTTTATATCTTAATAAATATCAATACTTAAGAAATGAGCTTCTATCTTATCAATTACTGTCATTTTTAAAGATATAAGCTCATCCCGATATTACACTCATCAAGACCTTTTATTTGAGTACCCACATCAATTTTTCATATATTTATATATATATATATATATATATTATATATGTATATATGAAAAATATATAAAAATGCATGTGGGTACTCAAATGAAAGCTCTTGACAAGTGTAACATCAAGATGAGCTTATATCTTTAAAATCATCAATATTTAAAAAAGTTCAGTTCAATTTAACAAAAGTCATTGTTTAATAAAGCAAAATTTTATAATTTTTTTGTTCAATCCAAAAATGCATACAATTATAAACAAACTTGGCATGTTTGATTTATAAATAGGATTTTTTTTTAATATGTAAAAAAAGTCATTCAAAAGTTGAATGTACATTTATAAATATTTATATACATCCATACATACACGCTTACAAGACTCAAACATAAACATTTACAAAATTATTAATAAGTCTCTTGTTGTAGAATTATTTTACAACCAAACTAAAGCTGAATTAAAACTACCAAAAAATTTATTTCTTCCCTTACGACCGATGGATAGTTCGGAAGAGGAAGGAAGCACCAGACGTCTGTCTCTCCCTCGTAAATGAGGCTGAACCCCCAGAATAACACGAAAGTTCTTTGTTCCAGGTCGACGGCTGATATAATGACTTTGAAAAAAGTAAAGTTGAGCCCTCAATAAATACATATACACACAGATATAATACAAAATAAAAGTTATTACATACGAGAAAACAAGCTCGTAATATAAAATGGACTTGTAGAAACGGGTTTCAACGACAAGGTATATCAGAGCACACGGCAATGGATAAAACAACGTTATGTTACACTACTATATACAATATACAAGTTACAGCACCACACCGGGTAGGGAACGTTGCTCTACAGAGTTACAGAGTATTGCTTACTTTATTGGTGATGGTGATGGTGATCTTACTCTAAGCTGCCCACAGGAATGTGCCTTCACATCCACAATCCACATGTCCACATATCCACTCCTCTATTCACACATCCTCCACACCATCCCATCCCGTACTACAACTATTCCATATCCATACCAGCTTACCAGATACCAACCATCTTAATCAATTATTACTTAATACAGGAAGCCCGATAACCGATCGTCAATTTCGAATTCTTAAAATTCCCAGTTTGTTATTTTATATCGACTTACGTTTAAGTTAACTAAACTGTTATGGTGATGTTCACTCAGTTTTTTAGTATTTGTCTTTATAAAAAAAAGTTTAAAATTTTTTAACTCATTAAACTGATTCAGAAATTAAAGTTAGCACTTGGAAAATTTTTTAATTTTATTTAACAAAAAAATTTGT